AAAGGCTCAAATATCAAATGTATTTTAAATGTTTAATTTAGAAGATATTGAATAACTGAAAAACTTTGTAGCATATAAAGTTGACTGAAATTTTATATAGACTTCAAGCTATCTTTATAAATCTTGGTAGTTTTTATCTATAAAACACATATATGGAAGTTACTCTGCCAAACACTATTCCAAGTTTAATCTTAATAACACCACCCTGTGATCAGTACTATTGATATCTTCATTTTACAGATAAGGAAACTGAGGCACAGAGAGACTAAACAACTTACCCAAGATTATTACTTGTAAAGTTGTGGAGTTGAAGATTTGAACCCAAGAAATTCAGCTCCAGGTCCATGCTCTTAACCATCATGTTATACTTAAACCCCCTATAAATGACACTTTTATTTTTATTTAAATAATTTTTGGATAATAATCATGTATCATTATATGCTATGTATTTGCTCATCAGATTTTTCATATGCTACAAAATACTAATGTAGGTCACCTTATAAATTACTTTGTATTTATGCCTTTTAGGCAATACTGCAATTAATTTGGCCATATGATAAAGAAACCACTTGCAAAATGCATTATCACTCTTACTTGATTACAAGATTAAGATTTTTATATACTGACTTTTTAAAAGAAAAATATCCATTAAATACTACCATATTGGATTTTTATTACAAATATCTGCAAGGAATTGAAATGTATTTTATAAATATGAGCCAATCACCACTTCTATGCAACTTTTTTTCCCAAACTATTCTTCATAGGAAAGGAAATTGAGGCACAAGGTTTACATGATTCATTTCCATTCCTAGGAAGAATCTAAAAAGTTAAAGCTGCACCAAGGATCATGGGAAATCCAGACACCTAATGATCCACATAGCATGGTAGATCCTGCAGAACTCAAGGAGGAAATCACAAGTGATCCTGGGCCTGGGGGAAAAGTAGGATTGCTGAGGAGCCACATGAGATCACTGCAAATGACACTCAGAGGTAGGAGTCTGGAGATCAAAGCAACGTGGCAGACACCAGGGCCCCAGACAGAGCCAAGCCCAGCACAGGCAAGGCAGCCAGATGAGCCCCACTGGCTCCAGCTGACCCACCACATTTCATTTTGGAATCTGGTGTGGACAGGTTTCCATCAATAATAAGGCCACTAGCACATGGCCAACTGGACATGTGGACGTGTGGTTGTGCAATGGTAGGAGACCCCTGGCTGGAGGAGCTCTGTCAATGGCGTGCAACAGTGTCTCTTAAAACAGTATCACTGCCTTGGGTGTTGTTCTCGCAGAAGCCATAGATTTGGTCTACACCAGTTCCACTTGATTCCTATAGTGCCCATCAATGGATGAATGGATAAAGAAGATGTGGTATATATATACAATGGAATACTACTCAGCCGTAAAAAAGAGGGAATTACGCCATTTGCGACGACATGGATGGACCTTGAGGGTGTTATGCTAAGTGAAATAAGTCAGATGGAGAAAGACAATTACTGTATGATTTCATTCACATGTGAAAGATAAACAAACAAACACATAGATATGGAGAACAGATTGGTGGCTACCAGAGGGGAAGGAGGCAGAGGAGGGCGAAAAGGGTAAAGGGGCACATGTGTACGGTGACAGATGGAAACTAGACTTTTGGTGGTGTGACCTCAATAAAATAAATAAATAAATTTTAAAAAATAAAATAAATTCAGATGAAAGAGACACCGTGCTTGATGTCCTGTGAAATACCTGTCTACTAATTGCCATTTCCAATTCAGGGTACCCTGCCTTGTCCAGGAGAATATTTGGGAAGAGATCTTCAATCAAACTCAAAAATAAAGGTTCATCCTCATCAATCTAAAAAAGAAAAGAAAGGGAAATCAGACCAGCTATTCTGGCACAAGAATAGCAATGTATAGATAAACTGGAAATGTCCAACACAGCCCATAACAGCCCATTAATTAATGATTATTTTATAATAACTATTAACATATAAAATATCAACTTCATTGAAGTTGAGGAATATTTGCTTCAAGTTTCCCATAAATTAAAAAGTATTTAAAGAAAAAAAAGAAGAAGAAAGGGAGGAAAAAGAGAGAGAAAAAAAGGATGGAAATGGAAGGAAAGAAAATATTGCCTACACGACAACCTTTCCATAAAATAACCAGTTTGAGGAGCTACTACATAGCCTACAATTTCTAATTTTTTTTAAACAGTTTTATTTATTTATTTATTTATTTATTTATTTATTTATTTATTTATTTTGTGAGGAAGATCAGCCCTGAGCTAACATCCATGCTAATCCTCCTCTTTTTGCTGAGGAAGACTGGCTCTGAGCTAACATCTATTGCCAATCCTCCTCCTTTTGTTTCCCCCAAAGCCCCAGTAGATAGTTGTATGTCATAGTTGCACATCCTTCTAGTTGCTGTATGTGGGACGCGGCCTCAGCATGGCCGGAGAAGTGGTGCATCAGTGCACGCCTGGGACCCGAACCCCGGCCGCCAGTAGCTGAGCGCGCGCACTTAACCGCTAAGCCACGGAGCCGGCCCTACAATTTCTAATTTAAACTAAAAAGAATTTTTTAAATGAGAGATAGCAACAAATTCATGAATTAGAATTTGGTTTATACTTTTATTTTGAAATAAAAATATAACTTTCTGTCATCCTGTACATAGATTTACTGATACTGGACAACTGATTATCAGTCTCTACTGTGAAATGAAAGAGTATGAAATTATTACACACTTTTAACATTTACATAAAATTTCCTGCCAGGCTCTACAGACTTTAAAGAAGGTGAGATTTTAGCTCTAAAACACAAAAATGATTCAAGCTATTTGGAAACTTAACGTGTGGATTTTTAAAAATCCATTTCAGTTCTATTGGAATAGGCGTATGTTAGACGAGATGTGAGTCACCACAAAAATAACTTCTGAAAAAGTATAATTTAAAGTTATGCTCTCTAGCACTTTATCTGATAATTAAGCATTTTAAATGAGCATTTTAAATAAATATTTCCAAATCTCATTTGTGCTTAGTTAGTTGAACTGATATTAAAGCAGATGGAACATTTTCATCTGTGAATCTTACCAGTTTAGAAAGGTTCATGTCTCGCAGTACACGCATGACGATTGTGGATTCTGTATCTGTGGGGTGGGCTCTTTTTGCTGCTCCCAAAGTTCTCAGAACTGACAGAATGTTACGCAGACCAAAGTCATAATGTACCTGAAGAATTTGAGGTACACTGGGCTTATTTTCAATATTAACTTACCTATGGAAACTATACAAATTTGACAGAAGACCTATTCGGAATAATGAATATACGCTGATTTTCCTTTAGAAACTTTGTACAGTTTGTGGAGCAATAAATCTTTTTATCAATATATTTTTTGAGCAAATAGAGAATGCCCGAAGGAGTCCTCTCATGTCCCATCATTAATTTAAGCCCTTAGATCTGAACTAATAGGTATATCTTGACAGAGAGAAAGGAAGACATTCCCTCTTAGAGTATACATGTCCCCTTGAGACTCTTCTTAATCAATCATTCATAAGAAAATTTTCTCAATCTCTAAAGCTAAAATTCTGAACCAAAATTAAACTGAAACCTCACTCATGACACATACAGATATATAGATAGATAAGCAAAAAGATAAGCCTATTGAGGAGGAAGAGGAGGAGCTACATTCCAGGATTACCTAGAAGAGGGAAGAATAAAAACAAATCAGAAAACCAAGACCCCAGCTTTGTTATTCCCTTGACATAGATATTTATAAAAGCTCAATCACGCCAAATTCCAGCACATGTAAAGTGAATAATTAAAAATCAATTATCCAACCACCATGGAAAACAGTATGGCAGTTCCTCAAAAAATTAAAAATAGAACTACCATACGATCCAGCAATTCCACTTCTGGGTATATATCCAAAAGAATTGAAAGCTGGGTCTCAAAGAGATAATTTGCACACCCATGTTCAGAGCACCATTATTCACAATCGCCAAGAGGTCAAAGCAACCCAAATGCCCATTGACAGATGAATGGATAAATAAAATGTGGCATATATCTATGATGAAATGTTATTCGGCCATATAAAGGAAGCAAATCCTGTCACATGCTACCCCATGGATGAACCTTGAGGACATTATGCTAAGTAAAATAAGCCAGTCACAAAAAGACAAATACTGTATGATCCACTTATATGAGGTATCTAAAGTAGTCAAATGCATAGACACAGAAAGTAGAATGGTAGTTATCACGGGCAGAGGGGGTAGGGAAAGAGAGGAGTTGTTGTTTAATGGATATAGAGTTTCGGTTTTACAAGATGAAAAAGTCATGGAGATCTGTTTCACAGCATTGTGAATATACTTAACGCTACTGAACTGTACGCTTAAAAATGGTTAAGACGGTAAATTTAATGCTATACATTTTTTACCAAAATAAAAAAAAAAAAACTATAGAAAAAAACTGCTAAGGTAATTGGGAGCAGTATGCATCACTTAATACTAATCATTTGGAGGATGCAGCACATAAAAATATTCAGATTGAATTCCTGCCTTCAAGGAGTTTAAATTCTAACAGAGATAATAAAATAAAAATGTGAGTGAACTTGCATAAAAGTAAGGATGACTTGAAAGTGCTGGTGGGTGGAAGTAATTAAGGAAACCTTATCAAAATTGGACTCAGTTAAATCTGTAGGCATGAAGTGAGATTCACAGAATGTTCACCAAGAGATCAGCATGGGGCCAATCTTCTTGTATGCATTGACTCATTTCATTTCACAATGACCTTGTGAACAAGGGCTGTAGAAGTGAAGAAGTAGAAATAAAGTACTAGAGAAGAAGAGGGCAGGAGTCAGTGACGTGGGGAGTTTTTCTACCTGCAAGAAACAGCATGGAAAAATATTTCTTTGACAGAGGAAAAGGGAAGAATGAGTAAAGGCTGCAACAAGCAGAGGAAACCAAGAATGTTTTGAGTGGGAATGTAATTTAGTTGAACCTATGAGTATAAAAAATAATCTAGATTCAAAGAAGTTTGGAATGGAGGCCAGACTGAGGAGAGGGATCAAAGTGTTCTACATGTTAGGAGGTTGTATTTATGTTATATTTTTATGTTTATTGCAATGTATTATCATTTTGAGCATCCTTTTAGTAATTTTTATTTATATGTTATAGAAATTCGTAGCATGATCCCCGCCTCCTGGTGTTTGTTCCCTTGTAGGAACTTTTCCCCTTGAGTGTGATAGGATCTGTAATTTGCTTCTAACCAATAGAATACAGTAAAGATGACAGATTGTATGTGATTACGTGCATGTGATTATGTGGTCACATTACATAAGATATGTGATGGTTAATTTTATGTGTCAACTTGACTGGGACACGGATGCCTAGATAGCTGATTAAACTTTATTTCTGAGTGTGCCTGTGAGGGTGTTTCTGGAAGAGATTAGCATTTGAATTGGTGGACTGAGTAAAGAAGATGGCCCTCCTCAATGTGGGTGGGCACTATCCCACCCCTTGAGGATCCGAATACAACAAAAAGGTGGAGGAAAGTTGGCTTCACCCTCTGTCTGTGTGATTGCTGAACTGGGATATCAATCTTCTGCCCTTTAATGCTCCTGGTCTCTGGCTCTCAGACATGGACTGGAATCTACACCATCAACCCTTCAAGCTACACCATCAGCTTTCCTGGGTCTCCACCTTCCAGATGACAGATCATGGGACTTCTTAGCCTCCATAACTGCATAAGCCAATACCTTATAATAAATCTCTTTATATATATACATATATATCTTCATTCTATTTCTCTGGAGAATCCTGACTAATACAAGATTGTAGCACTCATCTTGCTGGAAACTCTTTCTCTTGCTGACTTCAAGAAAGCAAGCGGCCATGTTGGGGAATCCCAATTGCACTTAGCCTGTGGGAACTGAAGGTGACCTTCTCTAGCTGACAGCCAGCAAGAAACTGAATCTCTCAGTATTACAACCTCAACAAACAGAATTCTGCCAACAATCTGAGTGAGCTTGGGAGTAAATCTTTCCCAGGTCAAGCATCAGATGAAACTGCAGCCCTGGCCAAGACTCGATTGCAGCCTTGTTAGACTCTAAGCAGAGGACCCAGCCAAGCTGTGCCAGGACTCCTGGCCACAGAAACTGTGGAATAATAATTGTGTATTTTTTTAAGCCAATAAATTTGTGGTAACATTGTTACACAGCAACAGATAACTAATACAGAAGTAATATATGATTAATTTCATGCCTCTTAACTCTGAAACCATATGATGTCAGAACTTGCTACTTCAAACAGTATAGGAAACTAGCAAGAAAGTTACAGCAGATAAGACAGATAATTAGCAAAGCTTGGCCGAATACCTGAGTGAGCTTGGAAGTGAGAAGAGTAACTGATTAAGAGGTTCCTGAAAACCATGGGGACATATAACACATATTATGATGAATGTACAGATGGGATAAAGAACAAATATTAATATCCATAAGTTTTTGGCTCTTAAATCAGTTCAGATAGTATTCACTTCATTTCTATGCTGTAAATATTAAATTCTTTAAATGCATTTCTTAATAAAACGAGGCATATAAAATTATTTTTGTAATGATACAACTTTCTACTTTGTATCAATATGGTACTTTGTCAACAACCCCAGTCACAATTTTCCAAAATGAGAACATTTAACTGAATAGAAAAATTAAACATGCATAGTACAGAGACCTTCAGAATGCCACACCTGCTTAGAAAGCTGCTCCTCACACAGCTTGTAGAGTGTGAAAAACTTCCTGGCCAAAACAATGTTATCAATGAAGCCACAACTAGCCAACTTCACCCTTATGATAATCTGTCGGTCAGGGACCATCATGGCCACGGAGCGGAAGTTAATCTTCAAGTTTTCAGGGAGTTCCTGCCGCCCAGCATAGCCAGGATTCTACGCAGAAAATAAAATCCAAGGAGGAATGATACAATCATGGGACAAACAGACATCAGCATAATATTAAAAGATTCATTATGTAAAACAACAAATCTGGAATGACAACCAGAGAACTCATTTACATATCTCACTCTCCTTTTAAGTGGAGAGACTAAGTCATGGGTTATTAATACGAGCTTTGTTTAACACCAAAGGCTTTCAAATCAGGAGTGAAAATTACAGTCCTAATTTCCATTCATGGAAAATAGGTAACACATGACCAGGAAGATGCAGGAAAACTGTGATAAGAAGGCTGAAATTCAGTAGCTCGTCTTATGGTTCCTTACCATGGTTAGAAAAAGTCCAAATTCAGGGTTCATAGTCACGTTATCTCCATCAGTAAAAATAAAAGATTTTTTACGCTCCTTTTTACATGTCAGAATAATGGAAATTTGCTGGGCTGCAACTGAGAGAACTGGTAAATCGATACGATTAAATTCATCAAAACAACCCCAGGATCCAGACTGTGCCAGTCCTTAAAAAGGAAATTAAATAGAAAATCCAATTAGTATGTAATTCTGGAAAGCCAAGGAAAAGGGCATTATGCAGCTGCAAGACAAGCCAGAGATAAGTTTGTTCAAAAATAAAATTGAACAAATAGATTGTGCATAAAGCGCCCCCAAATAGCTCACGATGTGGCATTTTATCTGTAAACACTCAGCCTGCAGTGATAAAAAACATTACAAAAGGCAAATGATATCGACACTTGACCCACACAACACTGGTAAGATTCAGATTTTACAAAAAGTTTTACAAAGTTGAAGAATGACTCTAAAATATAGCCAGTTGCTAAAAAATCTTAACAAGATATTACTCCTTAACTGAAATTGCTCATCAGATTAAAAAAAAATAATAATAACCCTCACCTTTAAAAATCCGTCCAAGTCCTCGGAAATCCATCTGATCTGAACAATTGAAGACCACAACGTATTTCCCAAGACATCGTCCCATATCCTTGGTAGTCTCTGTCTTGCCTGTTCCTGCTGGTCCAGCGGGGGCTCCCCCCATGCTCATCCCCAGAGCTTGAGCCAATGTGATATAACACCTTGAGGGGGAGAGACATCACTAGAACCACACCATGGGCATCTCCAAGATACTTCTGAGACATCACAGTGAACTGAAACCCATACTAAATTAAAAAAACAGAAGATCCAGGCAGGCCATTGTCTCTACATAACATTTTCAAAAATGCATCCTAAAACACACTTATCTTTATGGATATTAACATGTATTGAAAAAAGAAGAGGTGGTCTATGGTCAAATAAGTTTGAAAACTCCTTTTCAAAAAGGTTAAACAGGCTTTATTATGATAATATATATTGAGCGCCCCCAAGTATGAAAAACAGCACATAATGTTCTGAAACTTATTTGACAACTTTTTCGCAGAAATCTACCAACATCTAAAAAATAGTATTCTAGGAAACAGATTGGGAACCATTAAAGGAGTCCTAGAGGGTTTGAGTGCCAGCATAGCGGTTGCACTGAAGCCCCATCTAGCAGAGAAACACTCAGGTACATCTCATGGAAGCTGTGAGAATCCGTCAGAGAAAGAGGCACATTGTTAGACCTGTCTACATTTCTTATCAAGCAGATGAGATGCCTCTATCAGCCTTTGATTTCTGCTGCCCTCTGTCTGAAGTGACAGCAGTAGTTAGAACAATTCCAATCTTCTCTATCTGTGCTCAGAAGTGGAAGGAAGGACTAATCATGAAAAACACTAGGACCTTTCAGAGAAAGGTGCTATATATTTTTAGCGTATTATAATGACTATTTTATCCTCTAAAATATCTGCAACTCCATCCACATAACATCGAGCTTCCCAGAGACCACAGCAGCCAGTGTTGTTGAATTTTCTCAGGGCAGTCAGCGAAAGGCTGACAAGAAGCCAATGCCTCTGGCCTTTGACTATTTTTAGGTATTAATTTTAGTGAGGAATTCTTTTGTAAAAGGGCAGCAAAACTTGCAACGGAATCCCAGTGGCCAGCAAAAAATGGTGACTGACTTCACCCATAATCAAGTCAGAGAAAAACAAACCAGTGAACACTTAGGGTGAAACAGGCTGAAACAAACTTCATATCACCTTCACTTATATACTTATCAATACTACTTTGCTTTTAAAGCTCTCAAATTTTTAATACAGAGCAATGTACAAGATAATAAATATAGTGAAAGAACCAAGTTGCAGAAAAGTTTGTGTAGTCTGATATCTATATATAAATATTACATATCTTGACGTGTATATAAACATGTGACAGAACCAGTCTAGGAGCAGTGAATAAATCATGGGGGTTTATTTGGCAACTTTTTAAAAAGAGCTGACATCCTAAAGGAAGGAAACAGATTATTTAAAAACAGGAAACACAGTCCCTCCTTTCCGGCACACTGCGGTGCTTGTAGTCGGCCCGACCCTGGGATGTGGAGAATTAAAATGCTGGGCAAGTGACGTCAGCATCATGGCAGAGTGAGCTTTCCCGTGAACTCT